AATACTCAGAGAATACAATTTTAGGTCAGAAAAGGAAAAGAACAAATGAGATCGTTCTCAAAAAATTCAGATGTCTTCAAATTTTCTAGCTCTGATTACACTAGGAAAGAGTTTATCTTTTATAATGAAAGCCATTAATGGTTATTTTTGGGAACCTGTGGGAACTGGTGAGGTTTTGGAAGAGTCCATTAAGGTTTCTGACAGTGTCTCACATGACATGCTCCTGAACAAGTTCAGCTAAGGAAAGACCTCATTTTGAGCTTTGTCCAGTTCTGGATTGCACACTTGGAGAAAGAAAAAGACAAATCAAATAAAGAAAAAACAATGGGAATGATCAGATATCTAGAAAATAAGACATACAAAAACTGGAAGAACTGAGACTGTCTGATTTAGAGAAAAACACAGAGGAGATGCCATCACAAACCAACAGGGCTGCTAAATGTGCCAAGAAATAGTTGTGGTTTTTTTTCTATCCCCCAAACAGATAGAAAAGTAGTAATGAGCTTACACTTAAGTAAGGGAGATTACAAATGCATAATGACATTACAATGATAAAGACAGATGAGCCACAGAAAAGACTTCGCAAGACTGAGGATCTCCTTCACTACTACTCTTTAAGAAGAGGTTACTGGTATAATTGCCTCTGCTTTGAAGTGAGGCAAATTTTCTATCATTAAAATACAAAAATATGGGTAAAAAACTATTTGGGAAATTTTACTACATAGTCATTATCAAGTGTTGAGAAATAAAATGGATAAATAAATCAAGTGAGTTACATGGAGTTCTGAGTTGACCCCAGTACTATTCTTCAGTATTTTTAATTAACAATCTGTGTGGCAGAAGAAAATATACCTTTATGAAGTATGTGGATAAAGCTTAGCTGGGTGGTTCTGCAAGCATGCTGAAGTATAAGACCAAAATTCCACAGGTTTTTAAAAGACTGAGGAACTGATCTGAAAATTATGTTTATGTAAGAAAAGGTAGCATAATAAAAACATATCCAGCATTAACCTAACCTGGAGTCAGACCATTTAAAATGAAAATTTTGAGATCCTGTCATCAGTAACAATGAATCAAGCTAGTCCGTGGTAACTTCTGCTACAGTATATTAAAAAAAAAAGAATTGGGAATAGTTATGAAACAATATCTAATAATACAAGTGAATAGAGTGATTTACAAACAATTCAATTGAATAATACTCCAAGCTCTCAGAAAACAGACATTGATACAGTTCAGAGCCTCCTAAAACTTTCATCACTATTACTTAACATTTATGGCATAGCAGTGCCTAGAGATGTTGGTCAAGTCGGGCCCCCACTGTGCTAGACACTGTACAAACACACAAAATGACAGTCTTTGCTCCAAACAGCTCTTAGTAGAAAACCCCAAGCACTTAAGACTCGAAGCCCACGGACAGGAAAACCTCAGCCCATTCAGATACGCCTTCCCTTTGCAACTCCAGGCTTTGCCCTGTTACAACAAATACACCCTGATTGCCACAACTAGCTTGACGAGGAAAGGAGTAAGTGGCAAACAGGCTACTTTCTAACCAATAAGCAGTGGACGTGCTGCCACCAAGCAGGCCAAAGCTCCTTGGGTCCCTGTCGATTCCAGCGTGACACACGTCGCGGGGGCTTCTGTGTGGCGCGCGATCCGAGCGCGCTGGCTGGCGCTCGCCACGCTACATCTGGACTTTGTTAGACAACCCTCAGCTCTGTTCTCTTGCATCAGCCTCGGCCCCCTCCGGTGAAGCAGCCTCCCAACCACTGCTTCTCCACGAACTACTCATGGAGACAAAGTACTCGGGGAGGAAGTAAATTGGGACCACATTAGCTGGTGACCCTCACCCTGCAATTGGCCTGCCTTTCCGATGATAGAGGAAATCCCTCATACAAACTGACAACCAATATGAAACAGGCAGCTCCATTTACTGGAAAGCCTGGTCAATGCTGAGTGCCTCATTAGGAAATGGTCTCTATATTGAGGCACATTCCTGCAATTCAGAGCCTAGAAACTCTAAATTAAAACAACATTGATGGCATATCCTCTTTCTGAAATGCCTCTCTTCATCCAAACTTTAATACACGTACTTAGAGAAGTTAAAGAACCAAAATGTCTTTGGCAGGACTACTCCTCTCTCTTTTGCAGTAATATCCTTCCCGTGTGAGCAACCAGGAACGTGACAGTGTTGGGAAGTGAGAAAGGAAAGTTAAAGCATGGAATAACCACAGAGTCCTCCAGAATCTTTCCTTGATGAATCTATGTGTCTTCACCAATATTTTTAAATATATAAAAAACATCTGAATTTGCAGGGCTGAAAAAGTTGGGCTTTTTTATCAGTAAACTGAGGCTCCTCACTACAATGAGGTTTTGTTTCAGGAGAGAGTTGTATTTCTCTACACTCTAAGAAAGGTCAATTAACAGCAAGTCAGTCTGCTAACAGTGGTAGCTATTGTAGCCACTCAGTGATAACCAGCACATGCAACGAAAAGGCATAATCTGAATCCTCTCATACACACTTGGATCCCTTCACACTACTGCAGCATAGTCAGAAGACTGCTTTTAAAAAACATTTTGTCAGAGGCTCTTCCCAGTTTGCAGTAAGATTCAGAAATCAGGCCTATGGTACCTACCACAGCATGCATAACTCTTCACACAAGCCACCCCCTTCCAAAACTGCTCAGCATTTCTATTTGCATCCTATGTACACAGAAACAGGAACCTCTTAGTCAGTTTTGCCTGACAGCCAATTGGAAGAGCTGCTTTCCCACCATGTCTAGGCGCTTCCTAAAAATGGGATGGACTGAAATACCAACTACTTATCAGAGATCTCAACAGCTCTGAAACAATGTTAAAGGCAGATGGAAGGAATTAATGAGGTCAGGATCTCAGTTCTGAATCTGAAGGGTTGAATAAACATTTTAGGCTCCAGAACTGTATTTCAAAGTCTTCCAGAAGATCTTGATTAACTGGCAACACTTGCCTTTGTCAAACAGCTGTGTTCCAAACATCTGCAAGCCTGTAAGATTTTTCATTCACAATTTCTACTGTAAATTTAGGAATTACAGCTAAATTTTTAGGAAGTTCCTGAAATGCTATATAGTGGAAATGCTAACACAGATGCACCTTTGATCTCAAGATGTAGAAAAGGGCTCATGCAGAGAAAGCTTAAACTGATGGAGCAGCATATTAGTTTTGTTGGAAAACATGAAGCTGGTGACCTGTAAGAAGTGAAGAGGGTCACAAGGGCCAAGTACACAGATTATTTGCAAAGCATGTGGAAAGATGATATTGCCTTTGACTATATCAGTAATGAAGATCCTGTAAAATCTCATAGCTTTCTCTTCTGACCCATCTGCTATTTCTGGAGCTGTCAAAGTTGGTATGATTTGAATTGATGAACTCAATGCAGAAGAAGTACATACTAAAACTACCGGTATTGAAAAAATAAATGTGATCTCAGATCCTCTGCCACTTGCAGAGCTATGAATATCACTATCCTATACGTAACTTTGTAAGTAGCTTTTCTTTCAATAGTATTGAAGGGTACACACAAGAAGGATGTAAGATGATACTTTCTTAAGATGTAGGATAGATTTTAGAAAGGATGTGTCAAAGATATGTTAGATGAAATAAGTATCTCTCAGGTATGGCTTAAATAAAGTTCAGATTGTTCACATATAAGCATCTATTCTGCCTCAGGGAATGCACTGGAGAATACCTTGAAGCCCCATTATCTGTGATTTTGTATTTCTATTTATACTACTCATAGCATAGATGTGTTGAGGAGATTACTTTCTGCTTTCTTCCATTTTTTTAAAAGACGACAATCTTAAAGAATGATGAGTACAGCTGAGGGCAGTTTTGGAACCAAAAACTTCAAAGGCATTTGGATATTCCAATGAATTTTTTGAAAAAGGACTGTTGCTCCAAATTCAGCTCAGAATTGATCTCATTTCATGGCAAGAGCAATGTCAAATTGATCCCCTTTGTAATTTTAGTTTATTTGGGAAATTAAGAATGTAAATTATACTTCTTGCTCATTTTGAAGTTGGTATAACAATAAAAATTACTGTTCTTAAATTAAAATTTAAATAATGGTTATCTTAAAAATACATGGCCAGTAACCTAACTGTGTTTCCTAAGGAAGAAACAGAGAAATCCTTTATCAGAAAGCAGACCTGGTTTTGTCTTGCTGTGCTTGATAGCAACAGAAATCATCTGGTTGACAGATGAAATGTGTCAAATAGAATTTTTTGAAAATGGAATCAGTGGCACACAAGAATTTGATACTGGATTAGCAGCAGCACATGTACTGTTACAGGGAATGTGGTAAAGGAAAAACCCAACAGAAGTGCTGAAGTGAAAAATCTACACAATTTTTTCAGATCCTAAATCTATTGCCAGGGATGCCTTTTGCTTCTTCTGTGTTTTACTGGCAAGGTAGGAGAAATGAGAGGCCAGAAACAGGAAAGGACCAATCTCCTCACAAGCATGAGCCCTCCCAAATTCCACTCTAGTAGCTGGCATTCCCATATGGTGCTCCTGTTGCAGATTAGAAACCACAGTAGGGACTGTGTGGTATAATATATTCCTATTTGAGCTCTGAAGCATGCAGCCTTTTCTTCCATGTAGGCTTCTTCCCCAGCAAGGCAAATACAGTCCACTAAAGGAATCATCACTACATTTCCCTGAATCTGTAGTTATTTGTGCCTGTAGAAAATAATAACCAATGTCCTTTTCATTCACAGTTTCCTATACATTCTATCACACATTTACTACTCAGGCAGTGACATAAAGCAACTTCCCTCAACATTGAGACTTGTTCCTTCCCCACCATGTTTCACAGGCTTTGTGACTGGTAGCTGGTTTAAAACTGTTATTTATGCACTTTCTGTCCCACTATATGACACAAATACACAATCTTAGTTCCATAAACCAAGATAATAATCTCACAACAGTTTATTAGCCGGTTTCTTCCCTAGCCCTCCTCTACTTACCTGCTGCTTGAGCTGTTGCACAAGACGGTCCTTCTCTCGTTTCAGTGCAGCCACTTCATCTTGGGTCTTCTTCTTAGAGGATGAAAGTTCTAGCAGAGCAATATTGGCATCTTTTTCACTAATGGCAGCAAGAAGGGCTTCTTGTCTGAAAAGAAAACAGATAAACACATCATTATCCTGCACAATTTGGAGTAAGACTCTACAAATAGTTGAACATTCCATAAATGCTGTAGTAGCAGGCAACTCTGAAGAGCAGCAATAGATAATTTGTCATGGTTATATGTCCACTGGTGGAGCAGGAAGTCAAGACCCACCCATGTCTCCCTACAAAAACTGTGCTGATACCAAATTATTGCTAACAGAGTAAGAAAAACTTTTATAATATGATCACTTAGCTTGTCAGTTTTTAACAGTTACCATTTGTTATTACTTTGGCTGAACATTTTCATTTTTTATAATGTTCTAAACATTTCCAGAGCAGATTTTGAAAATACATGCACAAATACCAGACTAATCATAAGACTTCTGTGTTAAATTACATTAGGTTATACTGCCTATTCATGCAGTTGTTCTAGAAGGAAGATGGCATGTGACAAGTTTATTGAAATCACTTGAACAATGCAGTGTATTCCCAGCAGAAAACGATGACACAGACACTTTTGTGCTAAATGACAGATGTTGAAATAAATGCCTTCAAGGCTGCCTGAGCTATTCTTTGACTTTTCTCATGAGTAACCAATATAATGAGCTTGTTGGATGCATTTTCTGAGTAATTGAGACAAAGGTAGGCCTGCCCTCATCACAAACCTTTTGCAGCTTTAGAAAAATGGTGCAAGCAAGAAAATTCTGTGGCAAGATATTGAGGCTTAAGCTCTAAAACTAGTTATTGAAACACAACCTTGCCATACTCTTTCC